TATCTTTAAATTGTTCCAACCCCAACTATGTAATGCTCTCTATATGATGCATTGAGCCAATCCCTTCCCCCCACGGAAGGACACAATTTTCTAATCGTCTATAAACACTAGTGAAATCATTTTAACTAGGCCAACCCCCATTGTTTTTCCACTTTTCAGGATTTTTCACGTAAAAATCTGTGTGTCTCTTATGACTCTTATACACCTCTATCTTTATATGTATGTGTATTGGATCTTCGTTCAAAACTAAAATATTAAGTTTTTTATTTCCCTACCGTCGTGAATGTTCTAGTCCACAACAGTTCCCACTAACAAAGATAAAGTATCAAGATGTTGGCCACCTATCATCACTTCTTCTTGCCTAGTCAACATCTATATATAGCTCGATAATTTGCTTAAACATAATTTTAGAGAATAAATTCCTTTCCCTAGGGCTGATTTGAGATATCTCAAAATATATAACTGCAAATATGTTTTTCACCAAGATTATGCATGAACTGAATGGTTGTACTTATAGCATAGATAAGATTTTATCATGTATGATCAATTAAGTTCATTAGACTTCCAACAAGTCTCTAATATTTCTCCTTATTTATTGGTACTTTTCTTGTCTCAATGCATAGCTTCAGGTCTTCTTCCATTAGAGTATCAATTTGTTGGGCTAGCTAACATACCGATTTCACATAGTAAATTTAAGGCATACTTTCTTTATAATAGAAAAATTCTTTTGCATGAATGAGATACTTAATTCAAGAAATTGTTTAAAAAGACTTGAATCATTCATTTAAAAATTTTTAAATAAGTACTTATGTAAGGCTTTCATTGCTTTTGGATCGTTGCCTTATTTATGCAATGAAATGAATTATGTGCTTTACTATATAAGGATAAGAATTTCTAAGGAAGCATGGTGGAGAATGAGGAAGTGTGTTCTAGTTTCTATAACACATGTTTTGGTGGCGAAAAGCTATGTTCTGGTAGTGAAAAGTCATGTTCGTATGTCTATTGACATATTCTGGTGCTATAAGCACATTCTATTTTGGCGTTAAGTATTAAGAGTTATAAGGAGGAATTTTATTATTTGTTGCTTTGAGATATGAAGTGCTTGTTTATTTAATTTCTTATAATGAAATTTAGGTTATATGATAATTGCAAGTATGATTATGTTTAGTGTATTGACTATTATGAAATAAAGTATTTGAAAATTAAGATTGATAAAATTGTGGTCTATTAAGTTGTATTAGCTCACATATATTTTATTTTTTATTTTTAGGGTTTGGGAAAGGTAAGAAGCCAGTTGAGTAGCCGTTTCAAGATTTGATTCGAGTAAATATGTCTTTTAACTTTATGTACAATCATGACTAGTCATTATTATGTTCAATTGTGTACCCTCATTGCATTCATGTATTTTAGTATAATTATTATGTATAGACTTTGATGATGAAATGAATTGAATTTTAAGGTTGAGTTTATTTTCCAGTATTGTGGATGTGGTTAGTAGCTTTGTTGTAGTGGTGTCAATTTCGGGTCACGAGTCGGGTTCGGGTCGAACCGGAAACTGACTCGGCACTATTCAGGTCAACCTGAACCCAACCCATTTTTGCAAACGGTTCGATTTTTCGAACCCAAACCTGACCCGCATTTGGATTGGATGAACACTACACGACCCGAGTGACTCAGTGCCAACAAAAAACTGCTAGTTTTATGGTTCAAAAATGGGTCACTATCCGCTTTCCGGGTAAAAAACAAGTCATTCTTAGGTTGCCGGGGCAAAATTAGGTTTTCCGGGTCAAAACGGGTCAATTTCGGGTCAAAGGGTCAACCCGAACCCGACCCAATTTTTCAAATTGGTCGAAATGCTGACCATAACCTGAAATTTTCAGGTCGGATTCGAGTCGGGTTTTCGGGTCGTGTCAAATATTGACACGTCTATTTTGTTGTATGTTGTTTGTTTTAATGTTTATATTGGAAGAAAAAAAAAATTCTAAAACTTAGATATTTAGATTTTTCTATTGCAAGCCAACGCAGTAAGACATATACAGTCTGTGGATCTTATCGGGTTAGTGACATGCCTTTTCGGTATCAGAGTAGTAATTTTGAAAATTAATTATACAACAAAGCTATAAGAATTGATTTGTAAGTCAAGTTAGGTGATTTTGGATATGTCTCGACATTCAATCTTAATTGTTTTCATTTGCATGTATGTTTTGTTGAGTATTCTATATGATTGAGGTTGTATGCTATATTTTCTAAATGTTATTATAAGAAAATTGATTTATAAACAATTTATTTATTTATGATAAGAGATGTGTAAATACATAATAATTTATGGGATATCTTACTTTACTAGACAAATGTTCATATGTAGGTCTTGTAATACCTCATAATAATTTATGGGATATCTTACGTTACTAGACAAATGTTCATATGTAGGTGGAAGTCCGACAAAAGTTCGACGACGCGCAGAAGTCCGATGTCGGTTGGTGGACGGGAGGTGGTTGAGGGGGAGCTTGGTGGCAAGAGAATTTTTCCTTCTCTTCCTTTTCTTCTTGCTTAGGCCTCCTTCCTCTCATGTCATGAGAAATGAGTTTTCTATTTATAATTTTCTAAGAGTGATATGGTTAGTAAATATAAAGAAGATCAAGGATAATTTGGGAGTGATTTGAATGGACGGACGATATGGATTCCCTCGGTCATGAACCATTTATTTGGTATTTGAATGTCTTAATGATATCATATTTTGTTGATCTTAGGTTTGTTGTTTTGTCTCATCGTGCCGCTCGATTCAACTATAAGCATGTAATGTTTGGAAACCATTTGGTCATCCAAATTGTGGTTTGAACCTTCCAAATGTGTTTCGCTCTTTGAATTGGATCTATTTGAGCTCGGATTGAGTCAAATTTGTTGTCATTTGGTTCGTATTTTTGAGACATCCAATTCACATGTAAGTTTGTTGAAATCAGAGTTCAGATGATCTGCGATTTAAATTTTGAAATTTTCAACTTAATTTTGCTTCAAGATTTGTGCCCGATATATATATATATATATATATATATAAACAAAAAGACAAATTTATTCATAGAAAATAAAAGTTGAGGGGAGTACAACATCTAAAGGCCAACAACTTGAAATAAAAGAGTAAAAACCCATAAAACCAAACAGATCAGAACAAGCGATAAGAGGGGACTTAGGAATGGAGGCCCCAACATCAACCTCACATCCAAGCACGGACCATCCGTAGGTGACAGTTATACGAACACAGTCCATAATCCACCAAGTAACAAACCGAGGCACACAAGTTACCAACCAGCCAAGCCAACAAGGGGAAGCAGGAGACTCCTCATCATCGTCCACTAAATCATCAAAAACCTCTTACGAAATCGTAAAGGCCAAAACAGAAGCTCTCTTACTTATTTCCTTTTCTTTTATACTTATTATCACTCGCATTAGGGAAACCACGAACGACAGAATGACCTACCATATCTTGCTCAAATTCATGAAAATATGATTCCTCCCCACTAGAAGGAGAAGAAATGAAATCCTCTAAAATCAACTAGTCAGTTTAAACCAAAATAGAGATTTACACTGACTTAGCCACATGATCTTTCATTTCTACATTAGACATAACAGAAATATGGATATTAACAAAATTAACATTGCCCTCAAAGCCATCATTAGAAGCTAAATCCGATTGAACCTACTCATCCAAACCCAAATTAACAGAAGAGGCAGCATCCCAGTTCACGGGAACCATTGGGGAGGGTTCACCACAACCAGGCAATTCCCGAATAGGAGAAACAAAAGAACCAGACTGCTCAACGACCACACAAGGCACATCAGCCACAACCAAACCGCATGGGGCATACATAGTACCCGCACAATATAAAGCCGATTTAAAATTAAAACCACAACTTAATTCACCAATGTCACTAGCACATAATCGAGATGGTATGGGAAACAGGCTCGACCCCAACCACTACAAAGTCCACTTGAGTTAAATTAGGAGTATTAATAGCATGTTTATCCGCTACCCGAGCCAACCCGACATTAATAAGGGAATTAAGCACATCAAACGAATCACTCAAAGCAACTGGAGACCCTTCCATAGATGACAAAACATGAGAAACATCAACAGGAGAAACAAGAAAATTAGAAGGTGCGGGCAATTCAACATCCAAATTCATGACTAAATTGTGCACAACATAATCATCACAGATAATGCCATCATGAGCCACAACCACAAGGACAGAAAGAGCCACCACAAGGCCAGGGAGCACAGGAGCAACGTCCCCACCCTCCTCCACCTTATTATTAACAGTAGACGGAGGCAAGGCAGAGGAGTCAAGGTGAGGGTGTAAAATCCTACAACCAGCCTTCGAATGCCCTAAAGAGAAACATTGTGCACAATACTCAGGAAAATCTTCCATAACCATATATTGAGCATAACCAATGTTATCCGGGCCAATACAAATTTTATCAGGATAATGTTTGGTCACATCCAGTTCAACCAAAGTGCGAGCAACAAACGGACGAGAAACAGAGGAGGTCGCATTATCAATTTTTAAGGGTTTACCAAAAACAGAGTCTAAGCCATGAATATATATGTATATTACTAAATTCTAGTCACCTTCGTCTATGAATTAGAGGTTGTATTTATATAATTTTGTTTAACACTAACTTTATTGCATTTAGCCTAATTAATTATAGCTACTCTGGTGCGTTCCGTTGCAAGAGGTAGTTGGCACTGCATCTTTTTTTGGGAAAAGTTGGGACTATTATACTAGTTTGAATAGATTATGAGGACGCCGAAATCATTTCGTCTTGTGTAGAGCATCTTTTCCCAATTCACCCCTTTCGGCTTCGTCCTCTTCCCTGTTCTTAACTTCTTACACAAATTAAAATAAGCACATCCCACAGTCACTTTCTGTCAAAAATCTATAAATAAATGGTGGTAGGTATGTAAATCCCCCAAATAAATATCAACGCATGAACCTCTCATAACTTAAACCCCTTCACCGCTGCCGCCAATGCCTTCCATAGACGCCAATAGTGGCTTCTGTTCCGAACTAAAAACCTTCCATAGCCTCCGGCCGGCTGTCCCACTCCCTCCGCCTTCGCATCCTCTCTCTTTTCCGGTCTTCGCCCTTTCCCTCCTACCCTCTCCTCTCCCCTCCCACCCCGCCCTCATCGACGCCGCCACCTCCGCTTCCGTCTCCTTTCCAGCCTTCTTCTCCCGCGTCAACTCTCTCGCTTTTGCCCTCCAGGACCATGCGGGCCTCTCCCGCGGCCAAGTGGCATTCATCCTCTCCCCTGCTACCATCGACATTCCCATCCTCTACTTCGCCCTCCTCTCTCTTGGCGTCACCGTTTCCCCCGCTAACCCCGCGGCCACTCCCGCCGAGCTCTCCCGTCTCGTCCGCCTAACCAACCCGTCCATCGCCTTCGCCGTCTCCTCCACCGTCTCCAAGCTCCCTTCTAATCTTCCCACTCTCTTCCTCGACTCCCCGACCTTCCACTCCTTCCTCGAAACCGACGCCATCTTCCCCTCACCTTCCCCAGCCATCGAACAGTCCGATGTGGCGGCGATACAGTTCTCCTCCGGGACGACGGGCCACATGAAGGCTGCAGCGCTTACGCATCGCAATTTCATCGCAATGACGGCTGGGTTCCACGCCCTGCAACCGAGCCGGGCCGGGCCGGACGTGAATCTGCTCTCGGCGCCGATGTTCCATTCGCTGGGATTCTTTTTTGGGCTGAGAACGGTAGCGCTCGGGGATACGTTGGTGGTGATGGATAGGGTGACTTTTCCGGATATGATGCGCGCTGCGGAGAAGTACGGCGTCACGCAGATGACGGCGGCGCCGCCGGTAGTTTTTGCGATGGCTAGGTCGGAGGACGTGATGCGGCAAGACCTATCGGCGTTGAAACGGATATTCTGCGGTGGGGCGCCGTTGTCGGAGGATGCGGTGGAGAGATTCTCGGCACGTTTCCCTGGCATCTTGATTTGTCAGGTGCGTTATATTTTTGTAATAATCTTGATTTAAATTCCTAAGAACATAATATGAGTCGTTATTAGATTCTTAAATATTTTATTTATAATATTTAAGTAGTTTGTTCCCGTTGAAAACATAGTTACCGTATACAATGATAATAGTATATTCAAATTATAGTTGGGAGATATGAATTAGAAAATTATAAATATATGGGTTTATTTTTCTAATTTGATTTGAAATACATAAAATATAATAAAATATCAATATAGTTGAAATAATAATTAATCAGAGATGTTCAATGCCCACGGTGATCTAAACAGTGGGGCAAAATGGCGAGCCAGTGAAGCGCAGCTATAATGAGCAACAAAATATTGGTAGCGATTGGTTGCCAACAATAATATTTGGCAACAACCAACTATGTATAAGGTGGCCAACTTCACTTTATGTCAGGGGCGAAACCAGTCCTAAATTTTAGCTGGGTCAAACTTATAAGGCATATATGTCGGGAGTTCAAGAGGTGCAGCGCCTCCTGGCGGGTTTCGACCTGCCATGGACAATTACCTAAAGACCATAGTATTTTAAAATTTTTAGTTGGGGAGGCAATTACCTCACTGTAGGCGTCGCACCGAGTTCCCTTCCCACCACGCTAGAGAAAAGCGTGTATGGGTAGTTTTCTGGTGCGTTACTAACTTCAAGAATGAGATTTTGAGTTTATGAATTGCCCCCCTGACCACCAAGGAGTTCCGCCCATGCTTTATGCATTCTGCATTTTGAATTTTAACAACTTCAAATATGCTGAAAAGAAACTAGATGAAAAATAAATAAACTTCATTTCAAAAATATTTTGGGCTTGAAATTCAGCTGTCCAAAAAGCCAAAATTTGAGAACTACTAATTTGTTTTAAATTGATTTGGGGTAATTTTGTTTAATGGTTTCTAAAATAATTTTTTAATATAAATATTTTTTAAATAAAAAAATTTGTACTAAAAATCTAAAATAACTATTTTAAAAAATAGTAAAAAAAGTCCAAAATAAAATTTTAGGTTTCATTTAGGACGGCTTTCTTACTGCTTCTTAAAATGACTTTCTAGTTAAATTTTTGTACTAAAGAAATCTTAATTTACACACAAATCCCAAACATTGATGCCAAAATTTAGGAATACATAAAAATAATTTTTAAGATATCTTGATATATTTAATATGATGACAATTTTAAAAATTATGAATTTTAATTTTAAATCAGTGTAATACAAAGTTTGCATAAAACAGTAGTTTTAAAGTAAGACAATAATTATAAAATTGATTATCATATAAATTGCATTAAGATAGCTTTGACATAATTTATTTTTCCACTTGTAAATATGTAAAATGATCGTCTCATTAAACCATATAAAGAATAAGAACAGAATAATACAGAATCTGAGATGTGAAATGAGTCTGCTACTACTCGGGTCACGAGTCAGATTCAGGTCTGAAAAAGTGACATGTTTGTAAATTGTAACAGCTCTAGGTTTGACCCAAACCTAATCCGTAACTCGATTTTGACAACCCTAAAATAGTATTTGGGCATCAAATCCTTGTTTTTTTTTTTTTTTCATCAAATCCTGCGTTTTTTTTTTTTCTTTTTCTTTTTTTTTTTTATCAAATCCTTCGTTAAATCAGGTAGTTGTCACATGTTACCACCTAGCCTGAAGACTTTTTATTTAAGTGAAAAGCATCCAAATAAAAACTATAGGTCAAAGTATTTTACTTAGATTTTAATTAGAATAGATGTTAAAATAATTAGATTTATTTTAAGATATTTTGATGTAATTGACTAATTAAATATATATTATACTCAATTTAAAATAATTTCAAAATTTATCTTAATCAAATCTTGATCATGAAGTTGAAAATAAATAAATTAAATAGTAATTATGTAAATTAAATAAACATTTTAAGATATGTAAATTTTTTTTATAAAATAAATAATAATTATTGTTAAAAAAGTGCTAATCTATATAAAATTATTGTTAAGTGCATATTTCATTTACCTTCCAAAAATTAAAAAAAAAAACTTATTAATCTTCAATCTCTTAGTAGTTGCCACTCCCTTCATTGTTATTTATTTAAAATCATAACATAATAGGCTAATTCAACATGAGGAAACTGGATGCCTTTGCCCCCCAATAACTTGGGTCCACCCAACTTAGCTTTCGTTTGGGATAATTTTTGTATTGCTTTATTTTTCAAACTGCAAGCACAATTTCAATTTGGCTATTATTTTTATTTTCTATAAATTTATATACTAGAAAGTTATTTTTTACAACAAATTCTGAAAAAAAATTAGTTTTCATACAATAATTCTTCAATCATCTTAACAAAAAAAATAAAAGCAACAGTCACAAACATACCCTTAGTTATATATTCAAGTAAGACTTGATTCACCCCCTCTCTATTTATGTCAAGAGTGAGAAGATTTACAAAATTTTATACATAAAGAATTCATGCCTAAATAAAGTATTTATGAATGCAAATACGTCATTTAGCTCATCTTGATCTGGTTGTTGGGAGCTTGGGCTATCAACTAAGAGATCTTAGATTCGAGTCTTATATATGCGATGCATGCTGACATAAATGTCCCAAAAAAAAATGCTGATATGTCAAAGACTATATAGAAGAGATTTGAGGCATCATCACTAACTTGCCATTCTCTCTCTTTTTTTTTTTCCCAAGCATTTTGCATTTTCATGTTATTGAAATTATTATAGTAAACTCTCTCTCTCTCTCTTTAATGAAGCCCTGACTAAAAAAATCTAGATCTGATGACACTCATTCCCTTCATTTATTTATTATATTTTGCATTAGACTGACTAATAAATGAGGATGGCTTGTGGGCAATGTAATGCCATGACATGTATTAGATAGTGTATACTTTAATATTAAATATTGGTGCATCATAAAATATGTTTGTAATACTCCTTTAAATATAAGTCATACTTGTTTTGTATTCTTTGCTCATCTTCATAGCCATATTTAATGACCCATGAGTGTTTTCATCAATCCTTGTTAAATAAAAAATCCAATCATCTATATTTTTCAAAGGACAAAACTCTTTAAGCTATTAAACTTCACAATTAATGGAGCACAAAACCATTCACTCTGACAAGGCAACAGCATTTACCCAAAAAAAAGACAAGGCAACAGCAACCCACATGCTATAATAAATCACATGCAGCAGTCTGTGTCTAACAAACACTCTCATTATGCCCATACATATGTAAAGCTACCTAAGCTCAAATCTAAATAAACACATGTATTGCTAGAGCTATGATATATGAAAATGACTATTCACCTAACACTTGTGTACTATATGCACTATATGCTGCTCTAATTTATTATCACTTTTCATGTTTAGCTCGCATCTGCAAACAAGTACATTGCTTTCGTCATGATATCAGAGCAGACATCTTTTTCATGACACACTCTGTTGCTTGTCTTTTCATAATATCAAAGCAGACATCTTTCTCATGACACACTCTGTTGCTTCCCAAAAAGACAAATCCTTTGTGAATGGTCATGTCGAAGCATCTACCATTCCCCCATCCCTCAAATTTTTCATCTCCAATATCAAAAATATTGTTCCCACCTATCTGCTGACAACTACTCCCTCTAGCAATCACAAGTCAGTAAATTTTTTTAGGCAAAAGGGCAAGCTTCCTAGAACCCACCTCCACACCCTAACTTTATGAATACTGTACTCATATAAAACGAGAATTTATGTGATTTTATGAGAATCATCTTCATCAATTGCACTATCAACAATCAACAACAAGATGTCAAGATTGTTCAACAAATTTTACAATTGTTGTCAATGACATAAATCAGCCTTCTATTTTTCTCATTTAGGGTGTGGGACCTCACAACGTTAGTGCTTTAATTGCACTACAAAACTTAAATAATGCTCAAAGTTTTAGGAGAATGATATTGAGATATTATATTTCATTAGAGATAGGGAAGAAGCAAACAGCTTACTATCCTATTTTTTTCTCAAAGTTAAAATCCTAAAAGCTCTACTACTTTACAAAAGAAAAAAAAGATCACCACCAAACATCAATATTTTTATTCAAACTAAAATGAGGCACACCTCCTTACTTGGGTTGATGTGTGCTCTTCCCATCTCATATAGTATACTACCTCAATTGCTACAAAGTTTCAATTTTTATAGCACCCTCTATATGCCCCAGTTACTATTTAATATAGTTGCCAAACTCTTGTTGTAACTGAATCATCATTCTCTCATTATTAACTACATTTTAGTTAGCTATTTCAAGTGATTAATCTGAGTTTTATCATTTATGACTAATTATTCTGTGCGGATGTCGAATGCCGTCCGGAGACCAATCAAAATGCACAACGTCACCTCTTGTTCGGTACTACTTGATACCGCGGCTCGGTACCATTTACGTGACGCATTCTAGTTGGTCTCCTAACAGCGTTTTGAGCCCAGCCTCTCCGCATAAATAATTTTTCATGATTTAGACCCCATCCTAAGGCCGGCCAAGACATGAAAAGTGAAGGGTTAACTTTTCATTCATGGCCTTGAGTTTGAGAAAAGGGAAAAAAAAAATTAAAAACATGCAACGGTCGCCAAGTTTAAACTTCGCAATCAAATATAACGTCTTAAGCATTTTAAGGACAGATAATAATTTTAATTTGATACAGGGATATGGCTCGACGGAAGCAGGAGGGATTTCCAGGATGATTTACGCAGAGGAATGCAAGCAACAAAGGTCTGTTGGCCGCCTTAGTGAGAACCTTGAGGCTAAAATCGTCGATCCCCTCAGCGGAGAATTCCTGTCTGTAGGCCAACATGGTGAGTTGTGGGTACGAAGCCCTGCAGTCATGAAAGGTACGCAAAAGCTACCAGAAAATTAAAATTATAAAAATTGGCCTCAAATGAAATTTTGTATTTGCCATTTGAATTGATACAAGCCATTTTTGAATAAGTTGAAAAATACAGATTTAAAAATTGAGAGTATTTTTGCCCGTTGAGCAAATAACTTCTCAGTTCCTCCATAGCATGAGCAGTTGGAAGTTTTGATAAACCTACACACAAATTAAGAAGGTGATGTGGTTCCAGGTTCCAGTTAATAAGCAGCTCACGGGGGAACACCGGATCGCTGAGGCAACGGCTTGCCACCGTGGCCACTTCCGCTGTCTGGACGATTGCCACCGTGGCCACTACCCTGAAGGAATTCCTATTCTTCACCTCTGCTCCTAACGACTTCATCATTAGCTTTTACTCAATACTTAGTTATTTTCGATATTGCCATTGTTAATTTTTCTCCTGTTATATGCCTTGTCGATAGAGGAGGCACAGTAGTTTTTTTTACCACTTAATGAAATTAAGCTATCGTTACTGTTCCATTGCTTAATCCTTTGGAAACAGGGTCTTCGGTTGCAGGTTTCGCGGTGGTTTTCCGATCAGGTTTCACACCATCTGGTATCAGAGCCAAGCACGAACAGGCACCGTGATGGCCAAGTCCAGCCGCAGAGCCGCTCCTGACGACGATCGGAGCTTAGATGACTGGCGAACCGCAGTTAACAGCATCTCCAGAGAGGTAGCTGACCTCGCTGCGGAGTTTAGGCGGTTCACCGTAGAAACAAAAAAGGAGATCCAAGCATTGCGGCAGCGCAGTGGCGTACCCACTGATATTCCGCGCATCGACCGTGAAGACGTTTCGCCTGAGCGGCGAAATCGGATGACTGCCGAAAGAATGCCGAGGAGAATTCCTGCAGCGTACTCCGATTATTCGGATTCAGATGCTGATGATGGACTACTGGGAGGATTCGAACCCTTCGAACACACCGACCGCGGTTTCGGGGAGAGACCGGGAGCCCGACCGGCGAGAGACAGACACTCTAACCATCATGGAGAATTTCGAGTTAAACTTGATATTCCGTTCTTTGAAAGGCGACTCCACATCGAAGACTATCTCGACTGGGAGAGAGCTGTTGAAACCTTCTTTGATTATATGGAAATACCACCTGAAAAACAAGTGAAGTATGTTGCCTGTCGGTTAAAAGGGGGTGCCAGCGCTTGGTGGATGCAACTACAGCAGAACCGACAACGGGAGGGAAAGGGTTCAGTGCGGAACTGGTACCGTATGAAGCAAATGATGAGGGGTCATTTCCTCCCAACGGACTATGAACAAATATTGTATCTTCAATATCAGCACTGTGTACAGGGCACTCGGTCCGTTAGTGAGTACACAGAAGAATTCTACAGACTAAGTGCGAGGAATAATTTGCCAGAATCAGACAACCAGTTGGTTGCCCGGTATACTGGGGGGTTGAAGGACTCCTTACAGGATAAGTTGCAATTAAATTCGTTATGGACCCTTTCACAGGCAGTGAATTTCGCACTGAAGGCCGAGCTGCAATTGTCTAAACAGTCCAAGAACTACTCCAACAGACGCCAATTGGTTGATCCCTCCAGTGAGTCCCGCCATTATGCACAGCCCAAGTTAATGTCACCAGCTTCGGCAACTAATTCTCAGTCCGCCCCTGTACCTGATAACAAGGCAGCAGCTAGACCTCGGCCACCCCCTCGGGACAATCCTTATGCTAAGCCAACAACTCTGAAATGCTTCCGATGTTTCCAGCCTGGCCATAAGTCAAACGAGTGCCCGACAAGACCACAACTTCAAATTGTGGAAGGAGACAATGAGGAGGGAGTAGAATACAATCCGGACACCAATGATGATGTTTTTGAAGAACTTACACCAGATGAAGGAGAAGCCGTCGTCTGCATTTTGGAACGACTACTATTAGCACCTCGGCAACCCACCACGTCCCAACGAAATGCTATTTTTCGCACTCGTTGCACCATTGGAGGAAGAGTGTGTGAATTACTGATTGACAATGGGTGTACAGAGAATGTGGTATCCCGATCTCTGGTACAAGCTTTGCAATTGAAAACGACAAAGAACCCGCAGCCGTATAAAATCAGCTGGGTTAAGAAAGGGGTTGAGATCTCTATCACTGATATGTGTAGATTTAATTTCTCGATTGGGAAGAGCTATGTGTGCGAAGTTCTTTGTGATGTCATTGACATGGACGTATGTCATCTCATCTTGGGCCGGCCATGGCAATACGACAATGGGGCTATATACGATTGTCGGCAAAATACTTATTCGTTTGAATGGAAAGGGCGGAAACTGAAGTTGCTGCCACATACCGCAACATCACACTCCAATGTGGCAAAAGACAAGGTTGTTCTTAATCTCGTCTCAGGCACTGCATTATTAGCTGATAGTGCTCCTTGTATTTATGCCTTGGTGTCTGTCGACCTTGGCCCCAATCAAATGCAGACGTCCAGTCTACCACAAATTGACAAGCTACTTCAGGAATTCCAGGATATTATGCCTTCAGAGCTGCCACCCGAACTACCCCGGATACGCATGATTCAGCATCAGATTGATCTGGTTCCCGGAGCCAATTTACCGAATCTCCCACACTATCGTATGAGCCCAAAGGAGCATGAGCTGTTGCAAGAAATGGTTGACGATTTGCTTAGACAGAAGTTGATTCAACCCAGCTTGAGCCCTTGCGCTGTCCCAGCTCTGTTAGTACCCAAGAAGGACAACAAATGGCGCATGTGTATTGATAGCCGAGCTATCAATAAGATCACTACAAAATACAGCTTTCCTGTACCGCGCATTGAAGACATGTTGGACAAGCTCGCCGGCTCCAGCGTGTTTTCTAAACTCGATCTCCGCAGCGGTTATCATCAAATCCGTATCCGGCTCGGCGATGAATGGAAAACGGCGTTTAAGACCAAGCAAGGATTGTTCGAGTGGCGTGTCATGCCGTTCGGATTGTGCAACGCTCCAGCGACCTTTATGCGCCTGATGACCGAGGTACTCAAGGATCACCTTAATCGTTTTTGCGTTGTTTATTTCGATGACATCTTGATCTACAGCTCGTCCTTTGAAGATCATATCGGACACCTTACTAAGGTGTTACAGGCACTTAGAGAACACCATCTTTATTTGAATTCATCTAAGTGTGAATTCGCTACAGCGCAAGTTTATTTTTTGGGCTATATTGTCTCGGCTGATGGAGTCGCAACCGATCCACGCAAGATCTCGGCCATCCGCGACTGGCCAATCCCTCGCACCATGTTCGACGTCCGCAGTTTCCATGGACTTGCCAATTTTTACAGACGTTTCATTCGGGGATTCAGCATCATAATGGCGCCAATCATGGACTGTTTGAAAGCCAAACAACTATATTGGAATGAATCCAGTCAGCGCAGTTGGGACACCATAAAGGAAGCTTTAAGCTCCGCACCTGCTCTAGCACTTCCAAACTTCGACCTCCCATTCCAAGTGGATACCGACGCATCCACAGTCGGAATTGGCGCAGTGCTATCTCAATCCGACCGTCCCATAGAGTTTTTCAGTGAAAAATTGAGCAATGCCAGACAAAAATGGACAGTGTACGAGCAAGAGCTCTATGTTGTCGTTCGTGCGTTGAAACATTGGGAGCACTATCTACTTCACCAGGACTTCATTCTGAGTAGTGATCATAAGGCGTTACAGTTCCTTAACAGTCAGAAAACCATCAATCGTATGCACGCGAGATGGATCCTCTTTTTGCAGAAGTTCACTTTTGTGCTGAAGCATAAATCTGGAAACCAGAATCAGGTTGCGGATGCTCTCAGCCGACGCACCGCACTCCTCACTCAGCTCCAGACTGAGTTAACCGGCCTTGAATGTCTCCAAGAGATCTATTCTGAAGATCCAGATTTCGCTCTTCCCTGGCAGCAATGTGCGGCATCACAACCAGTTGCAGATTACTCTGTCCGCCACGGGTACCTCTTCAAGGGGAACGCACTATGCATTCTTGAATCATCCTACAGGCAACAGCTCATTAAAGAGGCCCACGCAGGCGGTTTGGCTGCTCACCTGGGTCGCGAGAAAACGATCCAACAGCTCAAGGCTAGATTTTTCTGGCCTAAACTTCATCGAGACGTCTCCCGTTTCGTCGAGCTGTCAAGAATTTAAATGCAACAAGCAGAATGCCGGACTGTACACGCCTCTCTCGGTCCCTGATTCTATCTGGGAGGACATTAGTATTGACTTCGTATTGGGTTTGCCACGAACGCAACGGGGAGCTGATTCCATAATGGTCGTTGTTGACCGTTTTTCAAAGATGACACACTTCGTCGCCTGCCGTAAGTCCCTTGATGCCGTCAACGTTGCTCGGTTGTTCTTCAATGAAATCGTGCGCCTACATGGACTCCCGCGGAGTATAACTTCCGATCGGGATGTCAAATTTGTTAGCCATTTTTGGCGCGAATTGTGGAAGTGACTTCATACCTTCTTGAACCTTAGCTCTGCTTATCACCCCCAGTCTGATAGACAGACGGAGGTCGTCAATAGGACTCTTGGCAATATGCTGCGTTGTCTTGTACAGCACCAGCCGAAACAGTGGGAAAATGCATTAAGCCAGGCGGAGTTTGCTTATAACTCTATGCCCAACCGATCAACTGGACAATGTCCTTTTGCTATCGTCTATACTAAGGCTCCGAACCACTTATTCGATATAGCTATTCTTCCCAAATGTGCTAACAAGTCCGCTACAGCTTTGACGGACCAATGCCAATCTGTTCTTGATGAAGTTCGCATGAAGCTCATCACGTCCAATTCCACCTACAAGAAAGCCGCTGATCTTCACCGACGTCATGTTTCTTTTCAACCTGGCGACCTCGTTCTCATACGACTTCGCAAGGACCGTTTTCCCACCGGTGCAAATTCAAAATTGAGTCCTCGTAAATTTGGTCCCGTGCCTATTCTCAAACGTATTAACGACAATGCTATGTCGTCGATCTCCCAGACACTATGCATACTTCCAAGACCTTTAATGTCGCGGATCTCTTTCCGTACCATCCTCCTGATGATGCAGGCAGTTCACATATTCAGATGGAACCTGAAATTTCTATAGCGGGAGGTACCTGATGTGGTTCCAGGTTCCAGTTAATAAGCAGCTCATGGGGGAACACCGAATCGCTGAGGCAACGGCTTTCCACCGTGGCCACTTTCGCTGTCTGGACGATTGCCACCGTGGCCACTACCCTGAAGGAATTCCTATTCTCCACCTCTGCTCCTAACGACTTCATCATTAGCTTTTACTCAATACTTAGTTATTTTCGATATTGCCATTGTTAATTTTTTTCCTGTTATATGCCTTGTCGATAGAGGAGGCACAGTAGTTTTTTTTACCACTTAATGAAATTAAGCTATCGTTACTGTTCCATTGCTTAATCCTTTGGAAACAGGGTCTTCGGTTGTAGGTTTCGCGGAGGTTTTCCGATCAGGTTTTACACCAGAAGGTGATTGGAAATACTTGAGTTCGCAAGTAACGGGAATTACTTGAGTTTGAAAGCAAACCTAATAATAATTTGTGAAAACAACGAGAAATCTACTGATTTCAGAGAGAAATCAGCAATAAGATTCAAAATTTTTAAAAAATTAGAGAGAAAACACAAAGAAACTTCTTCTATTCAATCCACGAACAAGAGAAACAATACAAGATGCAAATCTCTTCAATTCGAGAGGAAGAAACAACTCTCTAAATCTCTAGCAAAGCCTAAAGCCCAAAAGAATAAACCATAGATCTCAAATCTCTTATCTCAAATCTCCTCTCCCATTGAAGGTAACCCTAACCCTAGCCAGAAGAAAGTAATTAAAGCAAAATGACAATTACTAATTCCCAAAACAGCCCTTAATTTAAAATTTTCCCTCCAACTCATCACTAATTAGAGTGTGGGCCCCATCACACCAGCCGACCCCCTCTTCTCTCTCTCTCTGTGGTTCCGCCCAACCCTTGGCCCGCCTTTGATACACCTAAACCGGTCTTGCATGGACCGGTTCAGCCAGCCGTCCTTGGGCCGGCCTAATAGAAGGCAAGATCAAAAAGAGAAAAAAAAATGGAGTTTCATTCAAAAATAATGGAAGAAATGAAATTCTTGTTGCCTGTTTCTTATACGATAGCCAAAAAACACTTGTATGCTAAACTCCATGATTATCACAGAGATATAAATGCTTATAATTCAGGCAAAGCAAATATCCCAAGGACGATGTGTGGTACAAAGATTAACTAATTGACCTATACATTCCTGATAAGGAAAAATGGAAGGCTCTTCCCTTGCAATAAGTATAATTATTAATCTTATTGTGAACCTCTTCAAAAGGACATAAAGTTAACAATTTTTATCCCAGTTGATTGCCAAAGTAGTCACATCTTTCAGTTCTAACCCTATAGTTGTCTGAGATTACAGATCAGTCATTGGCTATTAATGCCAGAAATTTAGCTCATAGTTTGTCCATTGACTGTAGAAATGCATTTTTGGCTATTAATGCCAAGAAATTCCAGCACTAATTTTGATGCTTTACTAGTTATAAAATTAAGTATTTCCATTTCAGGATACGTTGGTGATGAGGCGGCAAATGCGGAGACATTTGATGCCCAAGGCTGGTTGAAGACTGGAGACCTCTGCTACATTGATGAGAATGGCTACATTTACATTGTTGATAGGTTAAAGGAGCTCATAAAGTACAAAGCTTATCAGGTATTTCGTGTTTGGAAACGCACCCAAGGACTCTGTTTGGTTGGTGCTTCATCTAATATATATAACTAAACAATTATTTAAAATTTAAAATCAAAAGATTACTTATTGTTGTGTGCTAGAAATTGAAAAAACTGTACGTTCGATAAAAGCGAGAAATGAATAATAAGAAACAGAAAACCACAAGAACTTGGGCTTCGTTTGGGACGACTTTGTTATTGCTTCTTAAAGCAATTTTTTGATATAAAAATTAAAACTTTTGTATTAGAAACCTACTTTAAAAAGAAGCAGTAAGAAAGTCGTCCCTAACGAAATCTTAATTTCATGGAGTGATATTGATGGCCTTCCAGGTTCCACCTGCTGAACTGGAACAAATTCTTCAGACTTCACCGGAAATTGTTGATGCTGCTGTTATCCCGTAAGTCTTTTATTTCTTTATTGATATCAGTCATATTAATTTCTGAAATGCTTTCATTTTTGTTTTTCAATCTCTTTTGCGCAAGTATAGATATCCACAAGAAGAAGTAGGACAGATACCCATGGCATTTGTGGTGAGGCAACCAGGAAGCAAAATTAGTGAAGTGGAGGTGATGGATTATGTGGCAAAGAAGGTATATAAATTATAACAAAAACTGCAGATATCTACAAATCTTTGTTCCTATATTAGTGAGTGATGAAGGCTTCGTTTGGGACGGTTTTCTTATTGTTTTACGAAGCAGTAAGAAGCGGTCTCAAACGAAGCCTAAGATGCAAAATAGATAACATGCTATGTTTCTGTATGCTCTAAGCAGGTTGCACCATATAAGAAAATACGCAAAGTCTCTTTTGTCAATTCCATTCCAAAGTCTGCATCTGGAAAGATCTTGAGAAAGGAATTGGCTACCTATGCAATGTCTGCTCCAGTGTCCAGGCTATAATCCCACTAGGACAGTATTATTTTCCTAATGAGTGCAAAATAAGGCATTGTGATTTGTCGTTGGGTTATTATCCCACCAGGCTTGTATGGCAAAAATCAGAGGAAACCTGCTCATTTATATTGAGAAATGTTAATAACAGAAATAATGCATTTTCTGAGTAAGAAATGTAAGTCATGTTCATTTAAGAAGAATGCATTGGTTGTCCTACAAGGTCCTCTCAAAAAAATCCTAAATTCATATGGGATGGGGAAAGAGTACTTCACCAAACAAGAGCAAGTACTAATTTCAGCACAAGAACAATTACTCTAAACGGCGCTATAAATTAATTTTCCAAAAGAAATAAAAAAGATTTGATAGCCTGCATTCTTAGAAATCCATAAAATTTCTACAACATTCAATTCAGGCATCAGACATTTGTTTATGACGGTTTTTTTACTGCTTCTTAAAACAACTTTTTAGTATATAAATTTTAGTTTTTGTACTAAAAATTTGATTTTAGAAGCAGTAACAAAGCCATCATGAAGTCTAAGTTTAGAGCTTCCACCAAAATAAATACCTCAAATCTTAGGACTCAGAAGCATGCTTGTATAACCTTTTACTTAGTCAGGCCCTTTCCTTTTTCTGAAATATTAAAAGAAACAAAATGACCACAATCAACTTAGTAGACTTTGTTCCTAACCCATCACAAATATTAATGTTTAATTTAAAAGATAAAAGTTAATATAATAAAAATGCATTAAAGAATCATTAAAGCATTAGTACAACAGTAAAATAGTGAAACACAACTTTCAGGGTTCTAGAGCATACTTAACATTTTCACTTACTTGTAAATCCACTTGCATCGAGATTTCATATACTTCACATAATACTTGCTATCAAATATTTACTTGTACTTGGCTTTCATAGTTCATCAAAATTCAAATAGAGTTTTAGTAACTCCATTTATTTGAGATTATTACATGTACTTCCTAATATAAATTTAATGTCCCAATGTTCCATCTGCACTTTTGTCTTCCCCTTACCTCCCACACCCGCTTATAGCGACCGAGGTTAGAATTAGAATGAAACAATATTATATAACCTTCCACGCCTGCTTTTAGCAAGTGGGGCCAAAATACCTCTCATATATGTAGTAGGTAGATGGGGCTAGAACAGAACATATAAGTCCTTTATCATATATTAGAGAGTGTACTTTTCCCACATATTAGAAGATCTCCAATGTTATGCTATGAACAATATAAATTCAAATGCAACACTAACTGAACTATACTTTTCAATGCAATGCTTGTATAATGTATAACTTGTAAATAAAAGCATGTTATTTGTAAAACGTAAAACCCACTAAACTTATCCTAATCAATTTCAAACTTAAGAGGAATATTCACACGAGCATTTTAAAACCTTTATATAACTATTGCAATTACCGAAAAAATCTCAATCGGACTATATACTAAAAAATTTGCATAAGAAAAACCAACCAATAAAAAAATTGATTTCTTATAGTTAAAACATTCAGAGTAATGCATGTAACAACATATAAAAGTTATGTAGTGAAAACTTAATAAGTATGAGAAAAACATGTTTTAATCCATAACTTCTCATAAAACTGTTGAAATTAAAACCAAAGACAGGGGGTTCATAAGTAAATTAATCTCGTGCTTTACAATTTTTCTAATTGGCCCAATAAACGAAACTCGAGTTTTGGCAACCAAAATATATCCCTCTCTTTCTCTTTCCTCTTCTCTTCTCCCCTTCTCCTCCGTTTCTTCGGCTAGGTGAAAATGGATTTGCAAATGATTTTAGATATTTTATTATTTAAAATCCACTAGCTTAATCTAACACCACAGTGCTCACCTCTTCAGCACTGTAACGCCCCTAGAGAATCTTCCATATTCTCCCAAACTTTTCTAGTTGAGGAATGGCACCATAGCGCACCCCTAAAATCTTTTTTTTTTCTTCTCTTTTTCTTAAGAGCTCAATGCAACGACTTTGCTAATACCAACACTGCAGTGCCCGCAGAGTAAATTTCTAAACTTGCATTTTTCACTTCTTGAATGCTACCTTTGGCCACTTCAATGCCCCATTAAACGAGCTAAGACTAATAATTGCAAATTAAAGCAAATTCAAACAGACATTTAAGTGAATTAATCTTAATTACCTAATTTTTGGGACAACGGATATTACAAATGGCATGTGCAACTCATTAAAAATAAATAATAGGAGAGGATGTCCCATGAGATCTTATTAGAGAGAGGCCATGGATGGGATTGATGACATATGCAGAGTAGGAGAGGAAGTTGCAATGAGATATCATTGGGGGAAGTCATTAATGAGACTTTCATCATGTGCAACAATAATAAAACCCTCGATGAGGAAGAAGAGTTTAGAAAATCGTTGACTAAAGGAGGGCATTGGGGAAGTTAACGAGGTGGTATTTTTAATATTACTAAAAAAAATTGAGTGTGATGTGAGTACAAAGTAAGATTTAGGCTTCGTTTGGGATGGCTTTCTTACTGCTTTATAAAGCAGCTTTTTAATACAAAATTAAAATTTTTATACTATAAAGTTGTTTTAAGAAGTAGAAAGAAAGTCGTCCCAAACGAAGCCTTAGTGTTAAATGTGTAAATTAGATTATTGTAAATGTTATGTATGTAAAATCCTTAAAATTATTTTGGGAGATTTGCATACAAAACACTCAAAACTATTTTAACTACATGTTCACGTAAAACTTATTATATTTATTCATATAACACTCAAATTTTAAATAACATAAAATTTTATACCCTCCTCATCATCTCCATTACAATCTCATTGTTGAACTCCTTGCCCTTCACACACCACCGACCCCATGGCCCTTTATCAATGAGATCCCGTTGCCACTTCTTTAGCGCCTTCTTGCTCATTCACATGCTATCGGTTTAGTGGATTCCTTTCTAAGTGAAGTCTCATCTTGACTTCCTCGTCTCTTTTTTGTCCTTCACATGTCATATGCCTTGTTGATGCTCATCTGAACATAATCCCATCACAACTTCCTCGTCTCTTTTTTGGCGATGCTCATCCCAACAAGATTTTATCACAACTTCCTCATATCTTTTTTATCGTGCGGAACCACCACAACTTCCTCTTCATTGTCAAGGGTTTTGTCAAGGAAGTTAACACTTAACAAAGTATTATATTACATAACTAGTAACATTTATACATTAAATATATAAAATAAGATTATTTTGAATGTTATATATGTAAATTCCTCTAATTTAGTCATACCAAATAGGTCTAAATGCTCCAAACACATTGGGGTAGATTGTGATAATTTATATTTTTATTTTTAGTCTATTTTTATACTTTATTGTATTTATAATTTAATATAAAAAATATGTTTAGTACCCGGGTTATCTTTTGCTTCCGCGTCTTGGTCTCATCCGCAACTCTCAGTTTTATCGGCCTCGGCCATGGCATTTCTTGCGAGTCTTCGGTTCGAGATCAATATACTGGAGACCAAAGAGAAGAATCCGCTATTCTCCGCTATTGATGAAACTGACTATGGGAGGAGAACGCAGCTTGCTAAAAGTTCACACAGCAGAGTTAACTGTCGATCAAATGTCCTCGCGATAACCCAGCCTGGGAGAGTCTCAGCCGTCTCAGTTTCAAGGTATCCATTCCTTTTTCTCTTCGTAACTGTATGTAAATTCTTCTCGTTCTGTAAAAATCGAAGCTCAATGAAATGCGTAGAAGTTTAACTGGAATTTCCAAATATCGTTAGGTTTCTCCATTTTAGATTCTTCGGTTCCGCTGCTTTTGAATGCTAATTTTAGTTCCATGTCTGCTTTCCTGTTTTACGTGAATAATTTTATGAATATTTGGAGAAGATTTCTTTCCATTTTGTTTGGTAATCACTAGAGCGTGACCAGGAGGTCTAGAGAAGTGAAGGGTTAAATGTGTAGAGAAAAGTATTGGGAGATTTTTGTATATTCATATTGAAGTGTTAGTGCACTATTTACAGATACAGATTTATGTAGAAAAGGAAGATGTATCTACACCGATACTACTAAAATGTATAGAGACAAATTAAGTAAATACATAATGGGAATGCTAAGTGTCATAATCCTCTAATAAGTGGGAAAATATGGACAAGGGAGTTTTGATATCTAAATAGCTTCTATCCCTTCTAATATGTTTACAAACATCAATCTTTACCCAAAAAGAGATGAAATTTCCCATTGTTTAATATATGCAATGCGAAAGGAAGGAAAAATATGATGACTCAATTCGAATCCAATATACTTATGATGGACAACTAGTGGCAAAGCCATAAATTTTTTATGGGAGGGCCAACTTTAGCCTTGCTTGAGCTGATTTTTATATTCAGAAATTATTCCTGTTTGATTTCTAAAAAACAAAAATAATAAAAATAAAACCCAATTAAAAACTTAGGGTTGTTGCAACTGTTGACAGAGTAGGTCTGGACGTGACTTTCGTCCAAGAACAGGGAACAAGATGAGAACCAGGATAAAGAAGAAAGATAGCTTTTCATTTACATTAACTGATGGTTACAAAGGAGTATATATAGACAAATAAAGTAAAGAAAGTACAGGCTACACTTGTGTTACAAAAATGGAATTAAGCTTAAGACAGCCGTGTAACTGTGTAGCTAACAGCAACAATGGCACCAAATAAATTCGATTTGCTTATAATTTTTCACTAACAGAACCATTTCCCTGGCCCATATTATAAAGCCAAGTATTGTTACCTCCTGACCATCAAATTAGAGGAAGGCTTTTCTAAATTTCGGACAACTATAAAATTAAAAGCTTAAGATAATTGGTAGAACCACTAATGTATTATGAATTCAATGTTGTTGCAGTTTTTATGCGGGACTAATTCCCACTCTAATGTGAATCTTAATACCAAGTGCCTGATATTGCTTTTTCTATACACATGGACATATGTAAAACTATCTCTTTCCCTAGTATGTGAGTTTATCACTTGTTGAAGTAATATTTTTACTGTGAATCTTTCAGTATATAGTCAATGCATAAAAAATATAAATGATGTTCCATGGATAATTTAGCAGCCTGATTAATGTAAAATGAAAGCTTGTGATTCTAATCCATCTTCTATTATAATTGTAGGCTTGGTATGCCTGTTCTTTATGATCTTTGCACTTGTTTGTATAAGTTCCCAATTAGAAGTTCTCAAGCTTGTCTTGCCTGCAAAACAAAGACATGTAAGTACCTAAATTATTCTTAATCCATTTCTAGTAACATTTTTAACTTATCTGTATCCCAAATAGTTATAGCTTTACTGGTACGTTCTTACCTACAAGGCTCTCAACTATTTTTCGTTATGATCAGATGAATCAGGAGCTGATGATCACAGTTTTGAGGCTGTTCCCTTGAGCCTGTTGACTGCAGAGAGGGAGGAAGCAAAGGCTGTTCTATCACTATTCCTTAGAAAACAAGGTTTGAGCAATGCTGTGGCTTTAAGGATTGCCAAAAAGTCAGAACTTTTTATCAATCACCTTACGTCAAAACTCCGAAGTTTCTATAAATCTTGGTTTCTTGTAGGTTTGAACTCTAATAATTGTTTGAACATCTTCATTTTTAAATTTATTTAGAATATAACAACTAATTTTACTTGTTTTAAACTAAAGGAAGAGAGCTCACCACAATTGAAATCAGAAATGCCCTCATTCCTTACCTAGAATCCCTTCATGAAGAGAAAGGTGATCTACTAGTTGATGTTGTGGTGAGCTACCCAAATCCTCCTGGTAGGGAAAAGGCTAATCCAGTTGCTCTAACAGCAAGCTCTTGCATTGACAAGAAAGAAAGGGCTGTTGCAAGAATTTGTCAGAAGAATTCTGATGGACTCCTACCTGCTAATGTCAGATACCTCATGGACCTTGGTATGGAACTTGAAAAAATTAAGAGCATTGTAAGTAGATTCCCTGCCTTTGCTTTCTATACTTTGGACCGAAAGATCAAGCCCCTTGTAGAGTTCCTCCTTGAGCTTGGTGTGGATAAATCAGATATACCGTCCATCCTTCATAAAAGGCCTCAGTTATGTGGGATTAGCCTCTCAGAGAACTTGAAGCCCATGATGATCTTCCTCGAGAGCTATGGGGTTGACAAAAGCAGGTGGGCTAAAGTGATATGCCGCTTCCCTGCACTTCTCACCTACAGTAGGCAGAAGGTAAAGGCTTCAGTGGATTTTCTCAGCGAGCTCGGTGTTTCAGAGAAGAACATAGGGAAAATTTTGACAAGATGTCCCCAGATAACAAGCTACAGTGTGGAAGGAAAACTACGTCCTACTGCAGAATACTTCATGACACTGGGCATTGATCCTGCCTCTCTTATCTACCGATGTCCGCAGACCTTTGGTCTAAGTATTGATGGGAACCTCAGACCTGTCAATGAATTCTTCCTTGAGAGAGGTTACAGTGTGCAAGAAATAGCCACCATGGTATCAAGATACGGAGCTTTGTATACCTTTAGCTTGACTGGCAACATGATACCAAAGTGGAACTACTTCCTCACCATGGATTATCCACGATCAGAACTTGTCAAATTTCCTCATTACTTTGGCTATAGCTTAGTTGAAAGGATAAAACCTAGGCACTTCCGGATGAAAGAATGCAATGTAAGGTTAATTTTGAATCAAATGCTATCCAGCTCTGATAGTGATTTTGAGAAGGTCATGGAGAAAAAAATGTGGAAATTATCAGGTACTCTTGGCTCAACAAAAGTATGAAGATATGCATTAAATAGTTTGTTTTCCTAGGGTTAGGGCGTCTTGAATTTTGGCTGAATTTGAGATCTCTTAGACTTAGGTTTTTTTGGGCTCTAGCGGCGTCTAGAGATTTGAGAGAGATAGATCCTCCTCTCGAATAGAGGATCAATTTGTATCTTGCTATTTTCTTCCGTTTGTGTTCTTGCAATAAAATTCTTGGTTTTATCTGAAAATTTCTCTTTGTTTTTACTTGAAATCTTCAAGTGTTTCCTATCAGAGAGATCTGAAGGAAAAATAACAAGTGGGCGGCATACTTCTATTCTTGCTAGCTACTGATAGATTTCCTGGTCAACATTCCAGAAGTAAGCATCTTATTGCTAAGTGTGAACAAACGAAATCAAATCTAGAGCTTTTTTATAATTTTTCAGATTATTGTGCCTTTTGGAGCTCTGTGAACTGGGTGGGGTCGTCCTCCTGTATTGCTTTCTTATGAGTTATGAACATTTCTTTTCCAGGTCCAAAGGCCCTGTACTATCTCTCTCTTATTCTTCATAACCCAGTTTACTGAACTGATGAAGTCCTGCAAGTAGAAAATGCATTCTGTAGTTCAGATGAGGTATCTTTCTCTTATTGGAAGCTTGATTGGAAGTTTAAGCGTGGTTCCTTTCATTTGCTTCCTTTTTAGGTTTTGTTTGGGACAGCTTTCTTCATACTTCTTAAAACAGTTTTCTAAAATTTTTGTATTGAAAAACTACCTTAAGAAGTAGTAAGAAAGCTGTCCCAAGGAAAACTTCGGATTCGTTTGGGACAGTTTTCTTACCGTTTCTTAAAACAATTTTTTAGTACAAAATTTTTAATGCTTGTAATAAAAAAATATTTTAAGAAGCGGTTAAAAAACCGTCCCAAACAAAGCCTTAATTACATGCACATTCAAGTTTCATCACACGAGCTAATTTCCCATCCTAATTCATTTGCATTCCAAAATCTTTGCACTTCAGAACATCAGAGTAAGATGTATATCATTACTTCCTTTTCCTTTCAACATAATATGATTACAAAAATGTTGTAAAGATTGAAAATTTCATATTCTGAGGGTACCAAATTGCCTAACATTTTAACACGCAATCTTTAATTACCAAATAAAGCGCATGTAACAAGAAATTATAATTTTATTTAAGAAAAAATAAAGTTGGTCGCTATCATGTCAGTTTACTTAGATGGCTTCTTCAGTTAAAAAATATAATTTTATATTATCATAAATATATTTAAAACATAATTTAAATGTGAACATCCACTATTTTAAGTGATAATAAATAATCAAGCCCCACACATAAATTTTGAGCATTGTTGATATATTTAGTAAATGGGTTGGGATTGGGCCCGAAACTCTAAATTATTTAATTTGCGAATTGGATTTGGGTTGACTCATAAATCCAATTTTGACTTGATAGTGATCTACTTTATTTTTTTCTTAAATTTTTTGGCTTGTTGGTATGCTCCTCTTACTTTTGATTAATTATTCTAAAATTTATAGATTAACTTATAATTTTTTTAATTAAAATGGGTTATCGAATTGAATTGAGTCATTCGGGTTGTTAACGGGTTCCATTCGAATCCACTCTTTTATCTATTGTTAAACTGGTTGGATTTGGGTTGACACTATTCAGATCCGACATAATTCATCTTGATCTGTTGATTGGGAGCTTTGGCAAAAAATCAAGAATTTGATTTTAAGCTTGAGTATGTACTGTGTGTTTACCTTTGACTTAATTGGCTCAAATATCCCCGAACATTTTCAAGTCAACCTAAATCTCATCCGTTATCCTAATTTTGATCATTATTATGAATAAGTTGGGCAAATTATTTCTTAACTTTTAATAATTATGATTTAAGAAATTCTATCGTCGCAAAAGCGAGTCTCTCGTTCTACTATTCCTATGATCAAACGCTGCTCCAAGATTCGTGGCGTATGTCGTGGCGTATGATGAATATCAGAATATGTATTATTATGATGAAATTATTTTGTGCGGATGATGAACGCCGTCCAAAAACAACCAGAATATGCAACACTGCAGCCAACTCAATACTACGGCTCGATACTGCTGGGTATCGAACTCGGAGCCACTTATGTAATGCATCTAATTGTAATTCAGACAGTAAACTGAGTTCTATGTCCGCACGGAATTATATCTCATTATTATGCGACTGCCCGCGGAATACAACGTTTGGTGCAGCGTTGAAGCGGCGAATGACGTACTGTGCAAAGTGTCGTAGGTTTGACGCGTATCACCCGATGATAAAACATCGACGGAAAGAAACGGCGTGTGAATTCAAATTTAGCTGTCGAATGCCTTAAAAATAGTGATGTTTTAACTGAGCTTTGACGGGTCCCACCTGCTCTGGCTAATAAAGGGTATGCGTTATTAAATAGGAAATTATTGCTGCTGTATTTATCCGAAGAAGGGGAATGACAATTTTATCCTTTTGAACCATAATTGACAAAACGTTTAAGAATTCTCATTATTAAATAAAAGCGATTCATACATACCATATAATACTTAAATTTTGATATTTATTCATATAAAAATATAAAATATAATTTTTAAAATCAAATAAAAAAATATATAATTGTTGCATCCTGCACGGTGATAAAGAAAAATAAAGTTTAACGTCTTAATTTTTTATGAAGATTTGAAATATTCAACAATCTTCTTTTTACTATTTATTTATAAGATTTAGAGGGCTACAAAAAAATTACATTTAAAAATAATAAGTATTGAAAATACAATATATGATGTGACTTATTACAGACTACATCAAACATGTAACCTAACTAATTGATCTTGGCATGGATCTATGTCCTAGGACCCTTGTGTGAGTCTTTATAGGTCTTGAGGAAATCCTCGAGCTAGAGCGTATAGGGCTAGTGTATGAATGCAAATCTTCTGGACATGATGTCATTTTTATGGCATATCATGTTACTTATATTATATGTATCAATCTCATGTATCACATATATCACATATGTATTTGTATTTGATATATCATCAAAAAATTATCTTGATCGGGCATGAATCTTGACGCAAAATCAAGTTGGAAACTTCAAAAATTAAATCAGATGTCATCTGAACTCGGATTTCAACAAACTTACAATCAAATCGAACGTCTAAAAAATATGAGCCCAACGACACCAAAGTCAATTCAATTCGAGCCCAAATGGGTCCAAATCAAAGACCTGAAGCATATTTGGATGATTCAATCCATAATTTGGATTATCAAACAGTTTCCAAACATGACATGCTTATTATCGAATTAAGCGGCTCGTTAAATTAAATATACTCAATGTTAATAGGTGTAACGGTTAGATCCGTACAATGTATCTTAGGCTTCTTTGTAATTACTTGTTGCTTATTTTGTCTTTAGTCTATATATACTTCATTTTGTAACTTTAACAGATTAAGTAATACAATTCATATTTTTCCTATCTGCTCTGTCCACCTTCTTCTCCTTCTTCGTTTTCATTCTATTATGGTATCAGAGCAATTCCTACTCGATGGCTGATGAAGAATCTACCATTTCTCCAACCTCCGCCCCTCGCTCCACCTTCGACGACACTTTCGTCTACACAGCGACCGCTCCTCTCAAAATTTTAATCTCAAATCTAAAAACTCTTGTTCCCAACTCCTTGTCGTCAGACAACTATCATGTTTGGCGTATCCAAATTCTTCAGCACTTCTCTGCTAATGGTTTTGCCGGTTTTCTCACCGGAGAGACTTCTTGCCTCTCCGACACTTCGAGCGATGCTTTCTTCAAATGGAATTTGATTGACAAGAATCTTATTTCGGCTCTATTCTCCACTATATCCCCTGCCATTCTTCCTTATGTCCTGACCGCCTCCAACGCTCACGACATATGGCAGATCCTGGAACGGCGTATGCAACCAAATATTCGCTCTCGTGTCATCCAGCTCAAGAACGAGCTTCACAATATCAAGATGAACAACTCTTCAATGCAGTAATATCTAATGCAGATCAAGAATCTGGTGGATAACATCGCCGTCTCGGGTTCTCAGATCGACACTGAGGATATCTTAATTTACATTCTGAACGGACTTCCCTCCAGCTACAATTCTTTCAAGACTTCTATCCGAACGTCTCTGCATCCCATAGATCTCGACACTTTGTATTCCTTGCTATGTAGCGAGGAAATCGCTCAACAGAGGGAACATCAGAAAGACGTTGCGGCAAATCAAGATAATCCGGCTTTCTATGCTAATCGATCCGTTTCCAACAAAGGAAATGGCTCAAACCAAAACTTCAAGAACAGGAAATCCGACAACTCTAATCCACCGGATCTGTCTTACTCCCGTTCGAACCAATCTTCCAACAGATCCGACCGCCCAACGTGTCAAATTTGTGGCAAACAAGGCCACATTGCCCTGAACTGTTGGCACAGGAATAATCCCAAATACGCGCCTACATCAACTAATTCGCGTGCTCTTCTTTCGCATCAAACTCCGACTTCCACCATGGATTGGATTCTTGATTCCGGTGCAACAAGCCATCTGACTTCAGACCTCAACAATCTTCAAAACAACTCAATCTATCACGGTCCAGATACCATCTCCACAGCAAATGGAGCTTCTCTTCCCATTCAGCATGCCGGACAAGGAATTCTTCCTCTACCGGATTCGGCTCGTAAGCTTTATTTATGAAAATTACTACATGTTCCGTTACTTACTCACAATCTCCTTTCAATTTCTGCTTTAACCAGAGAGAATAATGTCTCGATCTCTTTTGACGCTAACGGCTTTGTCATTAAGGATGGACAGGATCACCGTCCTCTTCTTCATGGTCAAATGCGTAATGGACTCTATTGCGTACAGAACATCATCCCGGTGTCTCCAACTGCTCTGCTTGCCCGACAGCAATCCACCCGTCTCTGGCATGCCCGGCTTGGTCACCCGCATATTGGCGCTCTCTCCAGCCTTAGACACTTATTACCTTCATCAGATTTTGATTTTAATCTCTTTCATTGTAATTCTTGTAGTATGGAAAAATGCCATAAGCTTCCATTTAATAAAAGCTCGACTGAATTTACGCATGTTTTTCAAATAATTCACTCTGATGTTTGGGGCCCGGCTCCTACACAATCTTTAAACGATTTTTACTACTATGTTATCTTTGTTGATGATTTTTCCAAATTTACTTGGCTTTACCTTATGCGTTCTAAGAATGAAACTTTTTCAA